AGAAGGCCATCAGACCGCGCACTTGCAGTTGCATACCTAGTTATAAAGTACAAACCTAAGAGATCCAACACTTAATTGAAAGCCACACAATCACATAGAAGAAATGAAGCGAAGGAATAAAAAATTACATGCATGGAGGTGGACCTTCCCCTTCCGGTTCCAGCTTACGCCATTCATAAGGTTTGGCAGCAGTGTCCAAAGCCCATACATCAGCTAATGGACGTTTTCCTGGTAATTTAAGGAAATTGAGTGAAAAGAAGCTATTTAAGGAGAATATAAATACACATTTAATGAGGTGGCGAGTAAAACTGCTTACCATCATTTCCACCAATTGCCATGAGATATCTCTGTCCTACCAGTGCCATGACATGTCCATAACGTGGTCCTGGTCCAGGACCCTGAACAACAACCCTAGATAAAGAGGATATTCCAAATCAAGTGACAAGCTAGCATAATTAACTTCAGGACCGAGCTAGCAGCAAAGAGCAGATTAATATTCAAACCTGTGCCATCGTGGCCGTTGCTGAGTGAGATCAAGAACGTGAAGATCCTCAGCTGATAAACCAGCAGGGCCTATTCCACCCTGCGCCACAGAGACAATTCAGTAACAGATTCATTACTAACCAAAATTGATAACCTTGAATTGCTAAACTACAGTCCATTACAAGAAAAAACAAAACAATTTCTCCCCTACCTGAATGACTACCATAGTCCCAACAGCAGTAGCAACATGAGCAGCTCTTGGACTAGGTGGTTCTCCATATGGTGTAAGCCTGCAGCATTATTTTCATCATATTAATGAACTTCACACTTAATAACAAATGAATAGATCTTGTACATTTTTCTTATAAGGATACTATTAAATTGTTAAAGATACAGAAAGCACAATTCATATCTAGTAATAACAAATTACTAGATCTCGTACATTTTTCTTATAAGGATACTAAAAAATTGTTAAAGACACAGAGAGCACAATTCATATCTTATACTCACCTCGACCACTTATTAGTAAGAACATCATAACAATGGACATCAGCGGTTGCACCAGCTAGTCCTGCATAGGAAAAAACAAGGCTTAAATCATAAAAATACACAAAGAACTGATGCTAAACCATACTCTAACATCAAGGATTGATATTAGAAACTAAAGCTTAAAGCTTTAAACGAAACTAAAGCAACGGAGAAATCGAAAACATACGAATGCCGGCACTTCCAGCTGAAGTAGGTGTTCCTGTTCCTCCAGAATTACCCTCAAGAGCAGTAGCACCACCAAACAAAATCAGTCTCGGTCCAATATAACCAGACGTCCCTTCCTCACCAACCGCCGGAACCGCCGTCAACGTATGTCCACATCTAGGACCAGGACCATCTTCTTTCTTCTCTATTATAGCATTCACAACCGAATACGTTGGCGCACATCTCGGACCAACCACCGTCGTTACCTGAGGTTGTTGTTGCTGCGACGGAGGAGAAGGAGGAGTCAAAGACGCCGATTCGGATTCGGATCCAGTTTCTTCCGTTGATTGCTCTGACGCTTCTTTCTCCATAGGAGATTGGTGATTCTCAGGCGTAGCAACAGGATCTTGATCATTCTCTGGTACCATAGATGAATCCAAATCCATTTTTTCACAACCCTAAATCGTCAATTTCAAAGCTCTTAATTAGGAACACATCTTCTTAATTAGCAAATTCAAAGTTGTCGCTTCGAAAATCTTCACGATAGAGAAACCCTAGCTTAGCTTTTCTCCGGTGAGATCCTTCCGGAAAAAGTCGGAGAATTTGAAAATGAGTTTGTTCTTCTTCTTCTTCCCAGTTTTTTTTTTTTTTTTTTTTTTTTCTTTTGAGAAGTATCAAAAAATGAGGAAAAAAGACAGAGAGACGAACTCAACACCAAACAAACAAAAAAACAAAAACTTGCCCTTTGTTTTATTTATCTCTCTCTTGAAGGCAGATAATTAAATTAATCTCTAGAATTTATTAATCATATATGTTTTGAGGATTACTTACTAAAGAAACAACACAAATTATTTGAGGAAATAAAAGATTTATCTATTCCAATTTGTTTAACGAACTTGAAGCTATATATAGTCTTGTACTAAGATATTGTTTCATCATTTATGTAAATACAAACAATACTCATGAAACTGAACCGATTTAGTAATGTGAACATCGCTTAAGATATTGTATTGATTATTCATAACTAATGGTGGATTTGTGTAGCTAATATGTTTGTGATTTGTATTGTTTTATAGAAAATTTAGATTTATTTATACTATGACACATTTAAAAAAAAAAATTGTCAGCAATTGACACATTTTCTTAGATAAGGTACTACGAAGAAAAGATTAAATGATTAAATGATTTATTGTTAACTTACTATGAAGAAAAGATTTACGATCATGAACTTACCACGTTTTAGTTTATTGTATTTTTATCGTATTCCTATAAATGTTTGTACCCTTTCAAGTAATTCTATCGTATTTGTATAAATGTTTTAATTTATTATGCAGTAACATATAGAAATGTATCTTACAGAATCTAGTAATCTACCTACGAATTTAAGATAAGTTTTACATTGGTTTTGATCATCCAAATTGAGACTAGATTTTTTTTTTTTTTGGTCAAACGGTAATTATATTAAAACTAGCTTGCGAATACAACACCCAAACGAATCCGTAAACTCCTTGCCAAAGAGATCACTTGTTGAATGTTCGAAAAGGAAACACAAATGAAATACAAAGCTTGAAAACAATAAGATAGAAGGTTAAATCCATAGATAATAACCAGGAGATTCTTCAAAATGGCTTCGAAGGTGATCAGCATGAAGTCGATCGACAACACTTGGACTTGATCCGAGGGTGCTGTAACATGTTTAGATGCCAAAGGAGGCGAGCGAACAGACTAGGCTCTAAATGCCATAAAGGCTGAGCTTTGACAAACACTCTTCATGTAGAAGAGGAATGAAGAGAAAGGTCTCTCCTTGAGAAAGGAGGAAGATGGAAGTGTTCTCTCCAAGGAGGAGGAAATAGGTGGAAGTGATCTCTCCATAAAGGAGGAAGGTCTCTCCGTAAAGGAGGAAGGTCTCTCCGTAAAGGAGGAAGGTTTCTCCGTAAAGGAGTAGAGTCTCGGAAAAAAGTCGGTAAAAACACTGGAAAGAACTCCTGAAGGAACAACAGTGAAGCCAACAACATAAATGAGCTTATGAGGGCTGGGAAAAAAACCTGCAGACATTAATGGGCTCACCAAGCCCAGTAACAAAAGGACCAGAGAAAGGTCCAACTCAGCAGTCTTGGTTACGGGAACGACGATGGGGAAAAGTGGCTGTCGCCGGCGAAACACGTCAGGCCAGCGAGGCAACACTCGACAGGAAGGAAGGTCAACACCTTGATCTTCGGAGGTGAGGAGGAACTTGGAAACGGTGGGGGATCTGGTGGCTCCGGTGGGTGGAGAGGTTCTGAAGACTTTGGAGAAAACAGATTGAGCTTACAAAGCAGCTTGAGAAGACCTTCTTGAGATGTCACTGCGGACGGAGAAAGCGAGCGAGCAAACGTCAAAGTCGAACACATCAACATGGAGACCGGAGCAGAAAAAACGCCAAAGAAAATTTAAAAAGATCTCGCCGGCGTCGTAGATCTACCGGCGGAAGTTTGGGACGGTTCTTCAGAGATTTCGAGAGAGGCGAGAGGAAGAACAGAGACAAAACGCCGGTGATGCGTCATCTTGCTTCCGATGTGCGGCTACCTTGGGCGTCGGGCCTGGGAGAAAACGAGACTACGGCGAACTCTAATTGAGACTAAATAAAATCACAAAGAGAAGAAAAGTTCGGTCACATGTCCTCCAACTAGAAAGTGAAAATTAAGTCATTTATAAGTTCATTGATGAATATAGCGAAGGAACTAACCCAAGTTCGATCCACCCTGAAAACAAAAATCACATTTGTGTGGGAAGTCTAGGCTTGGGCCAAGACCCAAACAATTCACATGGTATCTGGGATCAAGCTAACTCGATACCTCCGAGCATTAGTCGGAAAGCATTCCAAACTTGGGGTTAGCAGTGTGGTAGTCCAACACCTACGTATTGGCGACGAGTCCACATGGTAGCACTTTAGTGCGTTCCTCCAGGACAGACCGGATCAGCCGATCGGGTATATCAAAAAAAAAAATTGCTCACAATCTGCATGTAATAAATAAAATTGGAAAAGAATAAATAAATAAACAATGAATGGTGAAGACAAATCGCAATGCCATGACCCATGAGGACTTCTAAATTCTAATGCATTAAATGTCATCTGCAACAGAATCTACATAAGTTCATTCAGATTAACTTCGTACAAACCGCCAAACTAACTATATATAAATAAACGACTAATATATGAAAAATACATGAAACTCAATCAGCATTGCGTACAATCTGCATGTTTGAATTTCAGACGGTTTGTTATTAATTACAAATTGACCTTAAGCAATAAAGTTTTCCCTTGCCAAAAAAAAAGTTTTACAAAAATGAAGAACCTAAGAAAAATCTGAGGTATATGAGTTGAGCTCTTCAAATATGAGCCAAGTTTGCATTAGATCACCAAATTTTTTTTGCGGTTTTTCGTGTTTATCAAACTTTTGTTAGAAAAAGAAAATTTGTTAAATGCAGCATGGGAACAAAGATTTTGGTTAGAAAAATTGTTAATGACAATTGCAAATAAATTGTTGACTTCTTAACTGATAGTAGTATGTTTTATTTGCTCATTAAAAGACGGCGATGACATACTTAAAATGAAGTGACAAAGCTTAAAGAATTAATTGGATTCCTCCAAAGTCCAAAGCTATGAAATAGAGCTGAAAACGCAAATTTCAACAATCGTGAGAAAACCTTGCATGTGCATTGATTGAGAATACAAGAGTGATGCTGCATGTTGCAAAAGTTAAAAGATTCTAAAATTGCAAAATACAATAAAAGTCTGGGAACTGAAAATTGAAGTTTAAGTTGTCAACTTGAACAAATTGGTGTTTGCTCTGCATGTGAGTGAATGGTCTATAATATGTCACTGGGAAATATCATACAACTATAGAACCTGCTTCAGAGTACTCTTCATCAATATATTGACTACTAGCATCAAGCTGAAAATTTCTCGATATCTCTCATATTTTGCGCAAACATAACATCTAACCAACAGCTGTTAGAACTTTTCACAATTTCTACATATGAAAAATCCACAACTGTATCATATATTCCAGCATTTGTTGTTCAATGCATTGTGATTGTTTATCGGTTTCTGGAAACCTCTCAGCACTGGCGACCGAATCATGGTTTTCTATGTGACTTCTTGTGCTGTTTCTTTTTGTTAGACCCAATTCCATTTGCAAGATCAAACGAGCTCAGATCATCTAGAACTTGATCAAGACCAAGACCAAGGCCAGTAGCTTCTTTGCCTTCCTCCTCAGGCTGTGAACCTTCTCGTGTTTCGGCTCCCATATTATCATCCGCTGTCTCGTTTTCATCATCTCGGGTTATCTCTGGAGGCATTGCAAAATGTGGAAGCTTACCTTCAATGTAATCTTTCAGAATCTGCCTAGCTGCTCTTGTCTCATCAGGTAGTCCACTAGAGGCAACATAGCCACGAGAAAGGCAGTAAGTTCTTAGAAGCTCTGATGCAAGTGGTGGGCGTGACTGAGGCTCATAGCTTTTGGGTTTAGGTAGAGAGATGTTGTACACATCCTCAATGGCATGCCGAGGAACACGTTCAGCCACAACCTTAATAGCTTCGCGGTGCTCGGTCATCCGGTCTATTGGAAGAACTCCAGAAGCAATCATTTCATATCTTGAGCTTGAGAATGAAGGGAAGACTAAACCAGGGCAATCGCAGAGCATTAAATCCTCAGAGATTATCAATGTCTGGAAATGCTTCGTTTTCCCGGGGGTAGATGTGACACCTGTTCGCTTCTGACCTACCAATGCGTTGATTGTCGAACTCTTTCCCACATTCGGGTACCCAACAAAGCCAACCACAACTTGTTCGCGGTGTGATTCAGCAGAAGTTGCGGAAACTCCTCTAGATTTCCTCATTTTTACTATCTCTAGAGCCTCAAGTTTTAATCGAGCCAAAAGCTCGTCCCTTCCATATACTTTAACAGCTGGGTTATCTGTCTTGTGAGAGGTATCAGGTGCTCTCCACTGTTCTTTCAGGGGTTTACCTTCTAGGGTAGCCGTAGCAGCTTTGGCTGACCAGAAGACAAACAGAATATTGTTGCGGGAGAAGTATTCCGCCCATTTCTCCCTGAATTTACATCATGTAGAACCGAACTGGTTAGCAATAAAACAAACAGGTTGGAGGAAAAGAAACAAGGCAACAAGTTTACCTGGCATAAGAAGGTAACAAATCCGCCTTGTTGACCAGAAGCATTGTTTTTTTATGCTCATCAATTTCTTGTGCATATGCCTGTTTCAGAACAAATTTTCACGTTAATCGTTGATATGGATCAGGAAAGTTCAATTAAGAGATATCAGCAAGTTGGCAGAGATAGAGTTACCTCAAGATCAGGACAACGGTAAAACAGAGGATCTCTAGCATCAACAACCATAACAATCTGAAAGAGAAGTAAAAATAGCCAATGATATTGCAAATAACTTAACCTATGCAAAATGAGCTCTATGAGACGAAAAAAATATCATAGAAAAAATGACATACCAAATCACTTCGTTCAAGCACTCGCCAAAGTTGTCTCCAGATGTCAAGGTTCTTCTCGAATGGTGTCAACACAAGCTTTTCATTTTCCTCGAGGCTGAATGAATACAGCAGAACAAGTAGGGATGCATAAGTACACTAAGTCCCAACGAAAATTGCACATAATGAAATCAAACCATACATCTAAAATAGTAACATAGTATCTTTAGTGAGCTATAATCTGCTTCAAGATGTGAAAATGGATGCATTTTTATCAACAAACGTGGTCAAACCAAAACGTATTCTAAACTCTATCCCAGTTTTTTTCTTTGGTACAAAACAAATATCTAGAACACACAACGAACTTACATATGCATTGCCAAAGTACTTTAACTTTATCAAGTGCTAGTTTGAGATAAATGCATCAACTTGTAACCTCAGAACCAATTATATCATAATAATAAACAAAAACTGAGAGTAAACTAATTAAAATGTCATAAGTGATAGCCAAAAGCTTGCAGTATGTGACAATATTTGGAAAGCACTGGAGTAAACATAGTCGCTAGCTTATACGCATTATATCAAGTATAAACTCTCCTCAACTTGTTCCACCATTTAACCATAGAAAAGCATTGTACTAGACCATTGAGAAAACGATCGGACTTTGTAGAAGCCAAATAAATGTTCGAACACTTGAATATGAGTAATCAATCTCCCACTCTACCAACAGCAACAATCCTTCTACTAACAGAAGAATGAAGTAAAACATAACCAAACCTCGCAAGTTTCCGTCGCCAAGTAAGAAAAGCTTGTCTTTCATTAGCATCAAGTTGTTCCACATTCATTTTAGGTGTCCAATGAGGTCTGAATACAAGTAAAGCGAAAGAATATTAAACGAAACAAGACTTTCTTATATCACACATGAACAAAGAAGCAAAATCAATGTATTTAAAATCACTCGCCTTCGAGGAACTTGAAGACTACTAGCATGTAAAGCCTCTTCTCTCATCCTTTGCTCTTTCCATTCTTTAGCTGTTATACCACTTGAACTCGAACCTGTGTCCCTATTTACATACAAAATGATTCAATACAAAGAAGCAATCACAAGCAAATCTCCAAGAATCAAATTTTGATGAATCGAGAAACTGACATATTGATAGGAACAGGCGTTGCGGAATCGTGATGAATCGCGAAAAGCCGTTCAGCTTCCTCGGCTTGTTCGATGATGGCATCGATGTCGCTGACTTCGGTTACAGATTCTAGAACCTTCTTGTGTTGATCTTTGTAGGATTTGCCTTTTTCCTTGGTTTCTTGGATCATATGGTTATGGTGCTTCACTAAAGCTCGACCTAGAGATGTTTTCTCGTTCTTCCCCATTTTCTTCTCGGCTGAGACCTTGATTTTTCCGATTATTCAGATTCTGGAGATGGGAATCGCAGATTTTGTGAGAAGAAGATTGAGCGCTTTTGTGTTCTTCTTGTGGTGGTTGAATTCAAAACGCGAAAATGCCAAAGGCTCGTGTGAAGCGAAGCGTAGCCGCCGGGGGGAGAAAATTAATAAAATAAAAGTTTAGGTCTTTGAAGGGAAATTTACTAAAGTGTAGGAAAAGATGGGTAATTCTTTAAAATACTATATATTTAAATTTTTGTTCTAAAATATAATCACTGTTATAAATAATTACTTTATTTTATAATGTATATAAATATAAATAATAGAGAAATAATTTATATTCGCAAGATGGATTCATCGAATAAAAGAGAAAAGGAAACGAATTTTTACTGTGCCTTCTCAGGTGAGAGATATTGAAACGGTGGATTTCGTAGCAAACAATCGGTTTAACGTTAATTTATTCTTTGGAGCAGATGAAGAAATCGATTGAACCTTCAGCAGTACATCGACAACGATTTTGTGATTAGAGAAAACTAGGTTATCCAAGAAGATGAGTAAAATTTGCTCTGAGGAAAGAAGATGATAAGTTTAAAAAAAAAAATTGATAAGTTCCGACAACAATCTCTATTTAATTACCGATTCACTTCATTTTTTTTACACAAACCCAATTAAGAAATCTGTATATAAGTTACTTATTTTTAAAAAAGACTAAAATACTGTTTTTTCAATTCGGAAAAATTATATTAGAATTGGTTCAGTTTAACAATCAAAGTTTATAAAAAAATTAACTTAAAACTATAATTAGTATGAAAATCATAATTGTCCCCACTAATATTTTCATTGCACAACACAACTATATATACTAAATGATACATGATTTATTTTAGAAACAAACAAAATGATAAAACCAAATAATATTTAACTTAAATTACAAAATTTGACAATATAATTAACAAACTATTATTTCTAAATAAAAAAATAAAACAAAAACAAAAAAAAACCTTATTTTCATAACTTAAACGATATTTACTGAACTATGTGTTACCGTTCCTATATTTTATGACCGTAAACCTAAAACAAAATTAATGTACTCAAAACTATTTATATTTATATAGATATATGGATAGTACATTTAAAATATACAAAACATTGGTTATTTTTTTATTAATAAACAAAACAAATTACATTTTAATTATTTTTTAAAATATAGTCCCGCGGTGTACCGCGGGTTAAAATCTAGTTGCAAAGAATAAAAAGGTATACACGTCCGGATTTATGAGCTTTTGAGTTTTTTGATAGGAATAGGTGTATAGTAGTAGAGTATATATAGGGACAAATAATTGGGTCAAGTGATTCGTAGTCATTAAATGATAGATTTTACGTGAAGAAATATTTTTGGAATAATATCTTTCAATTTGTTATTTTTGTTAGGAATATACCAGTTTTATGCGATTTAAATTATGAAATTGATTTGTTAAAAATTAATGGGGAAGATTTGTAGGTAGATATTGGAATGAAGAGATATTTTCGATGGAGGATATAAATAGATTTCGTGGGTTATTAGGTATTATAGAGATCTAGTATTTTTGTTTGCGGTAGTTTAGATATTTATGATAGAATTCGGAGATATATTTTTGGAATATCAGTGGATTGATTGGAGGGAGTTATTTTTTGAATTAATTGTGTTGAAAAAGAAGAAACTTAAGAGATATTGTATTGTGATTCCGTAAAACGGTTTGGTTACAAATACAGTATTAGTTTTCCTTAAATATAGTTTAGAGATAATTTTGGGAATATTATTGAACTGATAGGATCGTGGAAATATTTTTGAATTTAATGTGGTTTAATTTAAGAAAGTAAATTAATATTGTCATATTAATTAGGCTAATAAAACACGCTAATGAGTTGGTTTTTATTTCCTAAATCTGGTTGTTAATTTTGTCTCACTAATTAATGCCGATTTTGATTTATTGTTGTAACAAGAAATTTCGGAGGTATCTGATTGCTCATAAACTGGGTCAAACTAATAAGGAAGTTTTTTTATTACAATATGCCTAAAATTGCTTATCCAAGATCCGAATAGACTAAAACCGGATCCAAAAGAGTTTATGCAAAAAACCCTGTAAAAATGTATATGTAGATTAATTAGCACGTAGTCGGTGTTTGAATGAACATCGAAAGAGTTGAAGAAGCTGCTTTTTCGATCTTTGACTTGATGATTTTTTACAGAGTCGGTTTGAGGTCTTGTCTACAGATCTAACGGCTTCGGTGCTGTTCGTTTCTCCATTCAGATGGATCATCTGAATGGAGATGAGTTATGATGTTCGTTTATAACAATTTTACAGAGCAGTGAGATGAACCAGTTGGATGATTTTTATCAAACTCATCCAAAAAATGATCATTTTCCGACTGAGTCTGATCGGAGCAGTTGACTGGAGGTGAGAAGAGAAACGAGATCCTTCGCACCGAAGCTGGATCTCTCCGCCGGATCTCTCGCCGGAATCCACTCGTCTTTGATCTTCTCACTCCACTCCACTCCTCTTTGATCTCTCCGCCGGCTGTCTTCTTCTCTCTCGTGCGTGGGTTTAGGTGTTACGATTGAATTAGCTGCGACCATTGTTTGAGAGGTAAGACTCATGGGTTTGATTATTGGATTTGATTTCTCCTTTAGTCATTGAAATCTCGAAGTGGGTTTCAGGTGTTACGGATTGAAATCGCTGCAACCACTGTTTGAGAGGTATGATATATCTCTAATTCATGATTTTGTATTGAGTTTATGTGTACCAATGGAGACGAGTGTTGTGGCTTTGTTTGATTTCGTGTTTCTAATGCTTATAGGCTATTATCGTTTTTGATGTTTGATTTTGTATTGAGTTGATCTGTTTCACCATCTAAAGCTGCCATTGTTTGATGTTTGATCTGTTTCACCATTTAAAGCTGCCATTGTGTGTTTAGTTCTGTGGCTTCTTCGTTAGTGTTTAGTCTTTTTAAGTGTGTCAGTGCACCAAACTAGCTTTAGATGAAACTTACTTTCTTTGGTTTACTGATTACTGGGATTTCAAGTAGACATGAATCTTGAGCTCTAAGCGGCTAATGCACCAACTTAACTTTAGATGAAATTGCTTGGATTTTGGGCCTAACTCTGTCTCTATTGTGGTACTAAAGATCTCTAGTTAGTGCATGAGTGCAGGCTTCTCTTGATATTTGGATGCGCCTGCAAAAAAAAACATAGTTGTTCACTAGAGATCTCTTAAAATTTTCAAAATCTCTAAGATAATGAGAACTTGATCATCTCCTTAAACATATATTATTTCCAATAATCATCTTCACTTGACGCGGCATGATCTCAGCCGTATCTTATCAAGCTCTTCGCAGTTAACAGTTTCATCTAAACTCTGTAAATTCGCCAGATTTCGATTTGGAACCCTAAAAAGTTTCAAAGACTTCACCGATCCACTTCTCGAAGAAACTCGAATCCGTAGACATTTCTGTGATTGTGAATTCTTTTTTCATCGAGAAATTGCTTTCTAGTTTGTGATGGGTGGTCTGTCTATGGAGGAATTGCCTTTATCAGCGTTGTTCGAGCAAGCAAGGAAAATTCATCTCGCGGCTTCAGAGTCTGGTACCGATCAGGTGGAAGCTTCTAACTTTCTTGTATTTCGAATTCGATTAGGGTAAGTTTACTGAATTTGGACATTTCCGGGTATGCTTCTTGTTTGTTTGTTAGGATGTTGTGAAGAAAGGATGTGAGATGTTTCAGAAATGCGAAGACATGATCGGAAAATTGGGCTTGTTCTCTTCTAACGAGACTAAAGAAGATATCAGCACGAACAATCTCAAGTACCTTTTGGTAACTTTCTCTGCAATCTGAGAAAGTTTCTCTTGTTTGTATACTAGTTTTGTTATTAGATTAGCAAAGACGTGATTTATCTCAAAGTGAATAACTTTGGCCGATGGTAAATTGCTTTTTAGTTTTAGCTTGATATAACTACCCTCTTCAAGCTAGACTCTATTTGGAAGATCATAAGTTTGTATGTGTTTGCATTAACACTTCTTTAAAGTGATGAGGGATATATATCTTCTTGTGACTATAGGTGCCTTATTATCTTGCGGAGTTGACGGAGAAAATCATACAGGAGGACCGTATTCAGATTGTCAAGGCCTCATATGCAAAGTTGAAGGTGAGTTTTCTGCTGAGTGTTTGCAGGTTGTTGCATCCATTTGATGCTAGTGCTAATAGGAATATGCATTTGGTTGGATTTCTTTAGATTGATGTATAGTCTTTTATTGTGTCTAGGAGTTCTTTTCGTTCTGTGAGGCAATGGAACTTGTTCCAGATGAGGAGTTGGAGGCTTCTTCACGAAGTTCTGGTGCACCTGCAGATCGAAGGGCTTTGAAGGTAGATTTAGCCTTGTTTCTTTAGTTTATATCCTGACAAGAATGAATTTAAGGTTTTCGGATTTTCAAATCTGTGTTGAGTGATTTCGGTACTTTGTAGATAGCTCGCTTCAAACGTCAAAAGGCTGCAGAGGCAAAGCTTCTTGAAATTAAAGAGAGAAAGGAGCGACGTGGACGTTCCACTAAAGCATCAGCTTTGTCGACTCCGGTTGAATCTGGAGAAGAAGATATTCCAGATGATGACAGCGAAGAAGAGAGAGAGGTTTGTCCTACTTTTTGTTTGGCTGCTTTCTCTAATTCGATTTTCTTCTAAACCTAATATTATGGCTTTTTTCTACAGGCCTGGCTCTCCTCAATTAACTTGGCTATTTGTAAGGTTAGTCTAAAAATCATTTCATTAGAATCCTATGATTTTTCACAAGTTGAGGAGGCTTTATCTTATGATTGAACTTCGCTACAGGCTATTGATCTGTTGGAAATGCTAAAGAGAGAAGAGGAAATGCTCTCTGCAATAAAGGAAAGACAGTTGAAGGTAGCTTACCGTGGTCTTAGTTTACTTACATGCAAACAAAACTATTTGATAAACATAGAAACGAAGATAATTGTGATGATATTTTGATCAGGATGGAGAGGATGGGTTCTCTCGGGATGCTCTTGATGATCGTACAAAGAAAGCTGAAACCTGGCACAGAGACGCTGCTGCAAGGATACAGTACTCTAAACCGGCACAACCAATCACTTGTGCCACATTTGCACAAGATGTGTTAGAAGGAAGAGCTTCTGTATCACAAGGTCACGACCACAAGAACCAACCTCTTATATTCGGTCCAGCAAGCATCGTGGGTGGACCGCTCTCTACCGAGAGAGAGAGGATGATAGCTCAGGTTTTCCAACCAAGTCACAGGTAAACAAAAAATCATTCTCATCACAATTCTTTTGAGATTTTTTAGAATGGTGATTAAACTTGGATTTTGTAGGATGCCAACAATGTGCATAGAGGATGCTGGGTTAACAGAGATGAACATAATGAATGATTGGCAAGAGCAGACGAAAAAAGCCATTGAAGAAGCAACGACCTCATGGTACAATGATAAACCTCTGAGAAGAAAAGAAGAAGACGAGGAAGATGATGATGAAGACGAAGAAGCTGTAATGAAAGCTAGAGCTTTCGATGACTGGAAGGACGATAATCCTCGTGGTGCAGGTAACAAGAAACTCACACCTTGTGGCTGAGACTGAGACAGAGAGACACATATTTAACACTTTCTCCCTTGTTTCTTATTTCCAAAACCTCCTCTTTCACTTTTGATGTCTGTAATGTAATATCATCTTTCTACTCTTAAGCCTTAAGACTGTTACAGATTTACAGCATAAAATTAACTACTAGTAGATTCACTTTCATTTTGGTATATTTCTTTGAAATATTATTTTTAAATAAGCCGACTATAGATGCAACGTATATATCTAGTAAAATATTAACGTGTGACCTGTATCTGAGACCATCTTTTTTGTCCTCTTTCAATCACAGCACCATTTATGGAATCAAACAACAAAAGAAAAACGAGAAAAAAGAGACAATACAACACACATTTTGCTTGTGAATGATTTAACTTCCAAAGTACAATGAACAACATCACTAACATGTAAACCAGGATGTAAACCAGGATTCAACCTATATATACCCTAGTTTCCTCCTGGAAACAACACTTTTTGTGACTTTAAAAATAAAGAAATTGACAATAACAGAAAAAAAATGGATCAGATTTGATCCAAAAAACGAATACCAAGAAGAAAAAAAGATGTCAATGATCAAATTTTGATGCAGATTCAAACAATATGAATTTGGAGATGTACACAGATGATAACTTTTACCCTTGAATACATTGAAACCCTTCACAAATCCAAAGCCAGATTCCAAATAAAACAGCACAGATGCAGAAATCAAACATCAACACAACCCAAACATGTTTCTTCCATATCTGTTTCGCCTTTTGTCTATGATGATGATCACTCAACAAACCATTTCTCAGTTCCTTGCGTAAGACTCCATTGTTACCATTCCCACATACATCAACATTCTTCTCTGATATCTCCTTGATCGAACCAACCTCACACGAATCTTGTCCTTTTGCTTCATTATGCAATCTCTTCTTCTTCTTCTTCTTCAACGCCTTCAATGGCTTCCCCAAAAGTGGCATCAACGCAGCTCTTCTTCCTTTAGATGAGTCAATACTCGGATTCCGACTCTCTCTCTCGCTACGCTCCTTGGTGATCCAACCAAATCCATGTCCAATTCCAAATCAACATCAACAACACCAACAATCTCCGCGAAAACTGGATCAAGCTTTGATTGAAGACAATGCGAAACAGGATTAATCAACGTTTCAACATCAGATCCACCGTCTCTAATCAGATCTTCAATAGCTGATCTCAGACGATTCAAAACCCAGAATGATTCAGGTTTCTCCATACTTTCATCCAAAATCGCGAAATAAACAAACGAATCATCATCGATTGCGAATGTGTACGTCTTCTTGTGAACTGTATGAGAGAACATTGAATGATGTGGAGGCGTGTTCTCGATACATCGTAAAGCTACAGCTTCGATTCCTGGCTCTTCCTTGGAAACGAACTCAGCGAGAACTACGGTTCCTTTCGCAATGCAAGTGTAAGACAATAAACTTGGATTTGAAATCATCCTTCTGTATACAAATTTCAATGGAGATTCGAAGCAAAATTCAAAGAGAAACAAAAACAGAGATCATTAGGTTTTGCATTCGGATTCTCTCGTAATAGCAACAAAGATAAAAATGCTGCGATCTCGATCGGATCAGAGAAGGAGATAGATTATCTCTTTCCTTGGCCCAATCCAGAATGGAGATTTTGATTTCTCTCTCTCTCTAGGGTTTGCGGAATTTTCTAGGGAAAATAACAGAAATGGAGAGGAGAAGGAGGAGGAGATCCATTATTGGAGAAGACGAAACGAAAAAGACCCAATATAATATTTTTACCGACTCACTTTTCCTGAAACCACCATTGTAAGTTTTCATATTTACAATAATACCCCCACATTAATCCGTGATTCGAGTAAGTCACACGTGCTAGGGTTACGCCACGTAGCAGATTACATCGCAACAAAAATTGGAAGGGAGCGTGAATCAGGTTTAATTGCAATAAAATAAACTATAGGACATTTGTTTGTTAATTGTAAACCACAGGGACCTAATCCGGATATATTTTTTAAAACCAACCTCTGTCTTTGAACAACGTCACTGTTTGGACCCGATTAAAGATGGATCAACCCGACCCAAAAAATGGCTCTGGTCTGATTCTCTCCGTCACTGAACCGATGCGGTCGTTTCTCGCCATCGCGTCCGGTGATCTTCGTCTCTCCGAGGAACTCAGAGGAATTGCTTCCGATCTTAGCTCGAAGAACAGCGTTTCCTACAAATTGCTCCGCGCTATATGGACCGGATCCGATCCGTTGACGAGACCCGGTTTATTGGGACTTTTCTCCGGCTGCGATTTCGTCTTCACCAGTCCCAAACCAAGAGAAAAGGTACACGAACCGCGATTCACATTAAATCCTCATTCAATTTACAATCTTTCTATGGATTTTCGTATCCTTACTCGTGTTTATTTGTTGTGAGCTCTTGGATTCTCTATTGTAGATTAGATTCTGTTCATGCTCCGTGATTTGCTGTAAATTGAATGAGATTATATTAGATGATACTGATCGTGCCCGAAGAATCCAGCAACAAAAGTTATTGTCTTTTGGTAATTTAGAGGAATTCATGCAAGATTTCTTCTAATCCTGTAATCTCAAAAGTGATCACATTTGTGTTTCGTGGTTTTGTTTGATTCAAATTTGCAGAATTCTATTTGGTTGATTGGGATATTTGAGCTTTATCGAAGAAAGGATGCTTCTTGTTTCCTTGTTTGAAGTTTTTTCCCAACTATGTTTAAGCCTTTTCGCGTTTGGCCATTTCAATGTGAGTTTATGTTTTAATTTGATCTGATTTCTCTCTTGGTAGAGCGAAGAACTGAAAATGAGATTACTGAAGCTGAAAGAAATAGCAGAGAGGAAGGAGTATGCTGAGCTTGTTAAAGATATAACACCCAAGAAACAAGTCGAAGAGCCTTTCTCCTCTTACAAAGACCAGCTCGGTTTTGGTAAGCATTTTCGTTCGGTTCCCGGATTACAGTTTTACACACAGGTCACTGAAGGTTTTTGTTCTCTTTCACTCTCATTTTATAGGTTTACACGTGGGTCTTACCATGTTCACTGGATATTTGGTTGGATACGCTTCTTTCAGAGCTTTATTCAACCGCAACCCCGCTCTGGTATGCTTTGTGTATCTCTCATTTAAGAAACCCACTACCGTTAAGGGGACTTTTAAATCATTGCTGTTTCGGATTTGTTTCGTTTTCTCCTTTCAGAGTGCTGCTGGTGGGATTCTTGGACTAGTTTTGGCGATGCTTGTGGAAACACTTCTGTTTATAATCAAAACGTCGAAAGATGATCAGATCCAGAGCTCTAAATCGTTTACTCCGTCGTTCACTCCCACTACTAAGAAGAATCAATAGAACTTGGTTTGCGTTCCCTTCCTACTGAGAAACGAAAGAGATTTGTAGAGAATTTAGCTTGGAGACGTATGTGATATGATCATACTAGCCTGATTTGAGAAATTTTTGTACTCATATGAGAAGAAACACAGAATTTAAGTTTTGTTTAAATAAAATTGGACTTGTGTTATATTTCCTTTCCCTTACATAAACCGAAAGGCCAATAAAACTAGAATAGTCTGGATGTTCTGTGACCTCTAAAAGAATGGTTTGTGTCAATTCATCTTCGTGAGGCCTCTTTATTCGTGTTAATCTATTAGAAGTCACTTCAATTTGAACCTTGTTCTCCATACATGGACTTAAGGTAATTATCGAATCAGTGTGGTTATTGAATTTTGATTTAAGATGTTACGAAGTTAGCCAACCTAAGATAGATAATAAACCCATTTTTGTGGTTATACATACATACATTACATACGTTAACGAATCATAGAAATAATCCCCAAATTACTTTTAAAGCTAACTGACTTGAAAAAATATGACCAAAATTAGATTGTGCGCCATCATACACAATCTCGCTTATTTATGCTAAAACCAAAAGATCCATATGATTAATGAGACCAACTGTGACCAACCAAAGAGAAGAAAATGATTAATGAAACTAAATGCATAATCAATAGAGAAAACAGAGTTTTGTGCCAATCCTTAGAGAAAATAAGTCTTTCATCAGAATAATAACACCAAACTCTAAAGAAGACGAGAGGGAGAAACTAAAGTCTGAAATTAAGTTGAATCATTATCAACAACCGAGTTAGTTCTCTCTAACTCTACTCATCATCTTCATCGTCTTCAATGTCATCAAACTCAGACTCATTCCCAGATTCACTCTCCGAATCACTCCACCACACATACCCCCTATTCGCAAAAACATCTCCAGATTTCTCTGACGATGAGTTTCCAGCTGCATTCTCGCTGCTCTCCTCTTCCTTATTAGCCAACCTGCTCATCACTGAACTACTCTTCTTGTTAAACGGAGACGATCTCAGCTTCCTCACTTTCTTCTCCGGGGACACTACCACGTCGTCATCATCGTCATCCAGAGAAATTTCTTTCGCTGTTTCAGTTGTTTCTGTTGACACAGAAAAAGAAAAGGCTAAACTTCAGGACAGGCATTACATGCAAGCAGTTCTGTTTGATCAATGTTTCTTTGTCAAAAATGTGATTGTTATTAACAGCTTACTGTTATATTAGATCAAACCTAGAAAAACAAAACACAATGAAAAACAATTTGAGCGTAATCAAGTTCCTGCGATAAGAGGAAAAGATGTATCAATGACAAAATGTGGTAATTTCCTAATGTGAAGCGTTATAAATAAGGCTTAGCATTGTGCATCCTTACCTCTAGTTCTTTGAGCCAGAGGGATTCCGGTGTGGCGTTTTTCAAGTCTTCAACTGCATCCATCATTTGATCTCTCTGTGCCCTTACCTCTTGTACTGTATCTGTAATCAAAACAGAAAATTGCAATAGGTAATTATAGTATGAGCTTTTTTCAGCTGCATTAGTTGCTCCAGCAACTGCTGCTTCGACAGGCTTGGCATTTTCCAGGATTTCTGTGAACCATTTTTCTCTCAACTTCTGATCATCAGCTTTCTCTAGTTTCAGCAGCTCAAGTTCCAGATTCTTCAGCATAATTTCCTGATTCTTCAGCATAGTTTCCTGTACACATCACAACACAGTTAATGTTAGATCATTGCCTTAATAAGTAAAACCTCAAAAAAAAAAACTGAACTTTTCTAACCTTTTTCTTCTCATAGTATTCAAGCGTGAGGTCATCAACCATCGATGGAAAAATATGAGTGCCAGGCTGAATGGGAAAACAGGGACATCAGAACATGCATATATAATAAGCAAAGCACAGATATTTTAAAGATAACTCAATCCATCATACCTCAGATTCCTTCCCTCCGGCTTTCTCTGCATCCATTAACTCCTCTACTTCAACCGTCTCTGTTTTGGCTCCATCGCTTATCTTCAGTTCTTCGTTCTGCACCCAAGTTTTCCATGAAAACAAGAAATGCTCCACTAAGCCTGATTTTGCCACACAAAAAAAAACAGTATATAGAAAAGAAATCATTAAGCACTCTTCTAGAAAGCAGTTACAACACTAATATAAAAAGATGGATCAAGCAAACTGAAAGTTCAAATTTCTTTAGATCAACACACCATACCTTTCTTAAGGATAGCTTTTGAAAGTTCACATTTCGACCCGAAACTGCTCTCTGGAAGAGTCAGTCTTTCTTTTGTTTGAGAATCAAACGCAGGATTGTCAATCAGAGCATTGACAAAGACCCACAGATGGTTCTTCACATTATCAGTCTTGACATTAGGGTATTTCTTCTTTTTGGTTCACATTAAGCACAATGTACTTTGTGACCTGGTTGGTCACATAATCAACATGCGTACCACCCTTAATTGTCGCAATGGAGTTGACAAAGCTAACCTGTTAGTAGCCAAAAACGAGTTTACTCATTCATCATGAAGAACAAAAGGTAATAATAGCCAGCCATTATATATATATACCTGTTGAAACTGTCCATCACTTAAGCTCACACAAACCTCCCATCTATCATTAACTTTCTCATTCATCCTACTCACACAAAAACTCAAAAAGATCAAAATCTATTCCAAGACACCAAAATTGTTATAACTCAATAACGAATCATAGAACAAACCTTGGGAGAGGCTCAGTCCTTGATTTACTGGCGGCACTTAAGTAGAGATCAACATAATCACTGAATGACTTAATTGGTACTCGTTTTTCATTCAGCTCAACTTTGACAGTCTGTCCCAAACAGCCAGCAATATCAAACACTCGCTTACTCATTAGAGCAACCACATCGTTCTCCAATTCAGTCATGTTAAACTTCTTCAAATCAGGCTTGAATGTAACCTTCGTCCAATTCTCACTCTTATTGCACTTGGTTATAAATAGTTTAGACTTGTTCCCCATATTGTTTTCAAAGACCTAAAACATCACCAGTAATGTCAATCAAAATTCCTCAAATTACTCTAATCAATCGAAATCTAAAACTCAACACAGAAAGCAAATAAAACGATTCCAATACCCGCTTATACTTCTTGAGTGATCTCTTCCCATCTGCAATCTCTATAATGAATTCAGTAGAGAAGATGTTTGTAAGCGTAGCACCAAATCCGTTTCTTCCACCAGTAGTATTCTTAACATTATAATCGTAATTCCTACTCAACCAAGGACCAAAAAAAATCCCAGGCACATAAACACCTTCTTCAAGAGGAACTCCATCACCACTGTTACACACACTAATCTGATTCTTCTCAACATCGATCACAACTTTGACAGAATCCATAGACGGATCTCTCCGTTTATTATCAGCAGCATTCACAAGGATCTCATCAAAGATCTTATACAATCCAGGAACATAAGTAACAGAACGACAAACCATCTCTTCCTTCTCATAAACCCAAAGCGTTTGGGTATGTTTCTCAATCGATCCTATATAAGAATCAGGACAAAGTAGGATATGCTCAACTGTATTCCCAGCGGAAGCTAGCGATGATGCCGGAGCCTTCGCAACATTGGCGTTGTCGATGTTTTGCAACGGGAGCTTCGAAGCCATGTTTAAGAGGAACGACGAGAGTTTCTTAGAGATGGATCTAGAAATTAGGGTTTTTTTTTGGGGAAGAAGAAGAAGAAGAAGAGCGCAGAGAAAGTTTTCGGCTTCTTCGTTCCCTTAACGAAACGGTTAAAGAACTTCTGATCCATCTAGGTCAGTCCGAGGGTCTAATCTTTTCTGACTACGACGCCGTTTTTAGACGAAACTTATCTATGGGCCCATTAATCATATAGTCTCGGCCCAAACGAAAATAAATGTCAACTCAAATTTTTTGTCGATTTTACAAGTAAAAATAAAAATCATTAATCTTGGATTTGAATCCTAGTACCAAGACCTTTGATACTATAATCAAACTCAAAACTCATTAATCTCATTCAGAGGTATAATTTACAGTCGTTCAATCATATACATTATTGGATCAAGTTGTATAGAAAGCTAACCAAATCTATGATGCATTATTTACAGAAGGAGAAGTTGAAATGGCTTAAAGGCTTATCGGTGAAAGAATATAGAGAGATTTGGGTTTTTTTTTCCACGCTAGCTACGTCCAAATCTAATAGCCTTATCTAACTGTGAGTGGTGTCTGTAAAGAGGACGTTCATTGTAAGGTCTCGGGTTATATATATAATCAATGATCAACCACTATGTAAATCTTTTGAGTTTGGGACCTCTACCAAATTCCCACAACATAAATTTTATGGTACTGATTCACATCATTCTCAACTTTTCTTTTTCACCCATACAAACGCATGACTCAATTCAGAACTCGAGAAGTACCAAATACTTTTAAAATTTAAATAGTTAATACAATTTACCTCAAGCACTAATCACTATGTATCTTTATATATAATATTGTACTTTGTGACCTGGTTGGTCACATAATCAACATGCGTACCACCCTTAATTGTGGCAATGGAGTTCAATTCTTTTTGAACAGTTACTTCAGTTTGTTTCTCGTCTTATCATTTTCTTCATTTCATCAGCTTTGCAAAGACAACGAAGAAAATGAGGAAAGACAAAGTTTTGGTACTCTACTTTTAGATTCCAATTTTTTCAATGTCATTAGAGCATCAACAAGTGATTAACTTCCGTAAATTATTTTCAGGTGCAATCACTCTCTGCATTTGGAAGAATGGGATCTGTTACAACTATATATATTGTGTCATCAAACTGGAATTTTAACTTCGAATCAGGCAATTGTCTCCTTTTATATGCAATCAGCTCTTTCCTGCTTCCTCTTATTCTTCTTCTTGTGTACCCACTTTTTAAGCATTTATTTTCTGCTAAGCAGATGTCGGTGGTTGATGTCTGGGCTGGAGGAATAAGAATGCAAGATATGGATACTGTTTCACAGTTGCCCACGCTTCTTAAAGAACTAATCATAGAAGGCATTGCCCAAAACACAAATGGCAGTGTTGTTTTTGAAACGGTAATTGTTTCATGGATCACACTGTTGACTTGGCTAGATTTATCATGATTTTAATATGAATTCGTCTTGGTATGTTCGTAATTAATTATAGGGAGTCACTGAACCAGAGGTTTATGGATCACCAACAGAACAAGCCATTCTTAACTTGGGGAATAAGGTTTTGTTTCTTTCTAATCTTGCATTACTACTTGCTATAGTGATTAAGTTTATAAATAATGACACTTAGTTACTCGTATTTTGTAGTTGGGAATGAAATTTGATGATGCTAGCTAGGTCAGCATCATTAGCCCGTCATACTATACCATTCAACCCAACAAAGAAATATGGAGGCGTGGCACTACAGGTAACATAACCTTGTCTATAATGTTATTGAGAAGATATATAGGTGCACACACATATATGTTATATCTGTTTTCACTTGACACAGATATTCCGGTGCAGCTTTGTTAGAACTCCGCAATTGTTTGACTGTTAATCTGCCTGCATATTTTATGCTATTTTTGATTCTTATATAGTTTTTTATTTCACTTCTTATCATTCATTTCTAGCTGGGTACACACGCTCATGTTCATTGGAAAGGATCTGCAAAAACTATTCTGAGTTCATGCGAAGGGTATATGGATGGGGCCAACAACTCCAGAGCCATTGATGAACAGAAACGAAAGGTTTGTTTATAAACGTAGATGACTAATTCAAAAATACACTATTATTTCTTGTTCGGTTTTCTATATAAGAGTCCATTCTCTCTTTAGTTTTTTGAGGAACAATAGAAAATATGTGTAAGGAAGGACTGCGTTGTGCAGCACTTGCTTATCAACCCTGTGAACTGGGAAGAATTTCAACCATTAAGGAACCTCGAAACCTTGTTTTGTTGGCTATTATTGGTATAAAGGTACATTTCCAGCTCTCATTCTAAAACTTAAGTTTGTATCAATAAGAATTGGTACTTGATTCCATTTTCTTCGAAGCCAATGAATTATTTTCATTATCATTACTTATCCAACGTTTTGAATAACATGCAGGATCCTTGCCGGCCAGGCACAAGGGATGCCGATCCAATTGTGCAATTCCGCAAGTGTTAAGGTGCCATGGTTATTTTTTTGTGATTATGCTACAGCCTGTATTACTATTTTTCCTCATGTATGAGCATGTCACTTGAAGTTTTTGAACTTTTATTAGTAGAGAGAAATTTTCTACTCGTTCTAAATTTTTGTTATCTGTAACTGAATTTGGTGTAGTAATATTTTCTGATTTGCTAAACCGACTATTAGGCACTTTATCATATGCAATGACACCTTTAATATTTTTTGCAGAAGACAATACATTTAAATGATTTTTTTTTATTTTCTTTGGGTCAACCCCTTTTATTGATCTACTTTCTAAGTGGAATATGTTGCCTTTCAGGTTTGCATGGTGACGGCGGATGACGTTTTGACGGCACAAGCAATAGCAATTGAATGTGGGATACTGACGGATGCATGCCGTAATATATGGACAGGAGCCCAATTTCGTGAACTTTCCGATCTAGAAAAAGAGCAGATCGCCGGAGACATCTTAGTATGAATCCATTCTTCTATATTTATGGTTTAATGTATATATTCATCTGTGCACATCATGAGACATCGATGAGTGGAGTCATGGGATAAGATGGAATTCAGTATCAGTTGTCACACTGTGACACCTTGCTGAGTGAAGTTGTTGTATACCTATTATGTTGATGGGAACTAACCATGCTGGTCAGATTACTATTTTGACAAATTTTGTCTAGGTCTATATTAGCCGACTGGTTCAAGAACTGGATTGAGCCTAAAACTAATAAACTACTCTATGTGAAGGTTCTTGCTCAATCTTCTCCCAGCGAAAACCTTCTGCTTGTCCAAGCACTGAAGAAAAGAGGGCATATCGTTGCAGCCACTGGGATGGGAATACATGATCCAAATACACTACGCGAGGTCCGTAGTTATCATATTAAAACTCTAAAAATTCATCGCACTCTTTCAAAGAGAATATAAATTGTAAACATAGAAAGTCATATCCATCATCACTACAACCTATGATTCATGTTTTCCTTGCACAGGCTGATGTTAGCCTTGCAATGGGAGTTGGAGGGACCGCAGCAGCAAAAGAGAATTCCGATATCATTATACTAGATGATAATTTTGCTACGATTGTCAAGGTTGGTTTATTATATGCATGGTTGAAATGACGAACTTGGGCAGTAGGGGATTATAGAATGCATACAAAAATGATGAGCAAACGTTGACTTTTTGGCAGTGAAATTTCGTTGAAATCATTTTAATAAGATACTTGAGGCTTTGTTTGGATAATGCAGTGTATCATATGGTCTCGATCTCTATACACCAATGTACAGAGATCTATCCTATTCCGGCTGACTGTCAGTGTATCAGCATTGGCTATCTGTGTGGTTGAGGTTGTAATATATGATGCCTTTCCACTTAACGCCATGCAGGTTCAAAAATGTTATCCCTTTGTTACTTCATCATCTTGTAATCCAGCATTTCCACAATTGGAAACCTTTTCCCTAACTTTTTGCTTTTCCTCGATGCAGCTATTATTGCTTAATCTTATTATCGACATCTTAGGAGCATTAGCGCTGGCATACAGACCAAGAGCTGATGACCACCTAATGCGAAAGCCACCGGTTGGTATAAGGTACAAAATCTGTATAGGATCAAGGATAATATTTGATTAATAAGTCAGTATATGGTTGTCTTAGAAAGAGACATTACTGTTGATTTTGCAAGAAACAGTTGGTTTTGCAGTTCTACGTGAATATAACCAAACTGATCATACAATATACCTTTTTCCGGGGTTTTTTCCAGAGACCCTCTTATAACAAGACGATGTGGTCCAAGTTGATAATTCAGGTATGTCGGGTAAAATCCTTGATTTAATGTCCTATAAAATAATTAACTCCTTCATAGTTTCCAGGGAGCAAATGCAATTCCTTGGTCACAACTAATTAATTATATAGATTAGAGACAAAAACACTGACTTGGAAACCACTAAATAATGCTTCTGTCATGAAATACCTTCCTCCAGGTATTTTACATTGTGTTGTCGCTGGTAATCATAAATTCTGAGAAGCTACTGAAGCTGAAGCATGGTCATACGGGCAATGCCGAAAAAGTGCTGAACACATTCATATTCAATTCCTTTGTCTTCTGCCTGGTAATGTCTGATTTTTTCCCACTCTTTTAATTAGCGTTCATCTGCGAATATGTTGATCATCTCTCTGTCTTCAAACTCCAACGCAGGTTTGTAATGAGTTTGAAATCCAAAGTGTAGACCAAACCTTCAAAGAAATCCTTAGAGAGAATATGTTTCTCGTCACAATAACCTCAACTATCATATCTCAAGTAAGTCCTCTGTACGAGTGATCCCGACATTTATCTTGTATTTCTTTTCTTATGTATCCCTAAACAATATACACTTTCTTTTTGTTCCTTCTATATCAGATAATCGTGATCGAGTTTGCCAGCATTTTCATTTCTTCCGTCAGGCTAGACTTGAAAAAATGGGTGACGACAAGTCTTTTGGGATTGCTCAGGTTCTGCTCATAAAGATACTCAACTACTTCATATAATTTTTTACTCTTCACATTTTTCTCAATAGATAAACTCCTTTTTTTTTTCAGCCAAGTCGCCACTCGCTTCCCTTACCCAACCAACCAATATTACCCGTAACTGAGATTTGTCTTGCCATATAGGCACAAGTACCGTAAGAACCTTTTACTCCGTAATCTCCTAATGAATCACACATAAATATCTTATAGATTTGACAAGTGGTTTCTCTGAACTTACCATTCTCATTTCAGGTCAACTTTTGAAGCATCCCTCTAGCTTTGGACGCTTCAGAGGATGTTTTTCTCTGTGTGGCTGTGCGTGAGAGATTAAATAATGGGTATATATAATATCACAATACAGTTAATTCTGTCAATTCATTTCCTCTCCAAGCTATGTAGAGTTGAAATGCGTGAGAGTCAAACATTTAAGTTCTGTATTCATTTCCCTTTCAAGCTATGTAGACTGAAATGGGTGAGAGTCATATAGTAAGTTGTGTTCAATCAATTCACCTCTTCATTTTTTTTTTTTTTGTGTGTCTAATTTGAGTTGCCTTCTGTATCAGAATCTACCATTCCTCCTAGGTTTACCGCAATACCTAGGTCGATCGAATGAAGAGCACTACGATAATTCTAACTGGTTATACAGCGAGTGCGATATTAATTTACTCATACTTGTACACATGCTATAATCAACAAAATTTCATCACCATTCAATTAACAAAAAAACACAATCCATGGCGGGTTTACTCTGCACCCACCCGCACCTGATATTTGACTAGATTTTTTTTTTACAACTGAGTCGGTTTTGAGGTTGTGTATAGATCTAACGGCTAATAAATTTTGAGTTATCTACTTTACCTGACGCGGCATGATCTCAGCCGTCCCTTATAAAGCTCTTCGCAGTTAACATTTTCTTCCTCTCCTATACTCTCGTGGTAAATTCGTCAGATTTCGATTTGGAAGCCTAAACAATTTCAAAAGACTTGACCGATCCTCTTCTCGAAGAAACTCAATTCTTGTGGATTCGATTTCATTGAGGAATTTTGAATTGTTGCCTGTGATAGGTGGTTTGGCTATGGAGGAAATGCCTTTATCGGCGCTATTCGAGCAAGCTAGGAAAATTCATCTCGCTGCTTCAGAGTCCGGTGTTGATCAGGTGAAATTTTTGTATTCGAATTCGATTAGGGTGTTTATCTGAAATGGTTATTTCGGATCCGAATCGCAAGTTTTTACTAAACTGGATATTTCCGCGATTTGGTTTTTAAGGATGTTGTGAAGAAAGGATGTGAGATGTTTCAGAAGTGCGAAGACATGATCGGGAAGCTGGCGCTGTTTTCGTCTAACGAGACTAAAGAAGATATTAGCACCAACAATCTCAAATATCTTTTGGTATGCAATTCAGTCTCTGTTGTTTGAATTTTTTACTAGTATGTTTGTATTATACTTTTGTTATTAGTTTGGTGTGAAAGATCAGAAAGTGAAAAACTTTAGCTTCTCCTGATGCTTCTAGTTTTAGCTACTGAAATTTCAAATCTAGAGTCTGAAATTCTGATTGTGCCCTCTTCAATTGGACTTACCAGTGACTTTGTGTGGAGATCAGAAGATTGTGTGGGTTTTGGGTTGAAATTTCATTAAAGTGACGAGGGATATATTTTCTTGTGATATAGGTACCTTATTACCTTGCGGAGTTGACAGAGAAAATCATACAGGACGACCGGATTCTGACTGTCAAAGCCTCGTATCCAAAGTTGAAGGTAATTTTTCTGCCGAGCTTTGATGCTAGTGCTAGTGGGAATGAGCATTTGGTTGGATTTTTTTCAGACTGATGTATATAGTCTTGTTATTGTGTTTAGGAGTTCTTTTCGTTCTGTGAGGCAATGGAACTTGTTCCGGATGAGGAGTTGGCGGCTTCTTCACGAGGAGGTTCTGGTGCACCTTCTGATCGAAGGGCTCAGAAGGTAGATTCAGCCCTGTTTCTTTTGTTTATATTCTGACGAGAATGAAGTTTAAGGTTTTCGGATTTTGAAATCTGTGTTGTGTGTTCATGATTTCGGTACTTTGTAGATAGCTCGGTTCAAACGTCAAAAGGCTGCAGAGGCAAAGCTTCTTGAAATTAAAGAGAGAAAGGAGCGACGTGGACGTTCCACTAAAGCATCAGCTTTGTCGACTCCGGTTGAATCTGGAGAAGAAGATATTCCAGATGATGACAGCGAAGAAGAGAGAGAGGTTTGTCCTACTTTTTGTTTGGCTGCGAATATGTTGATCATCTCTCTGTCTTCAAACTCCAACGCAGGTTTGTAATGAGTTTGAAATCCAAAGTGTAGACCAAACCTTCAAAGAAATCCTTAGAGAGAATATGTTTCTCGTCACAATAACCTCAACTATCATATCTCAAGTAAGTCCTCTGTACGAGTGATCACGACATTTATCTTGTATTTCTTTTCTTATGTATCCCTAAACCATATACACTTTCTTTTTGTTCCTTCTATATCAGATAATCGTGATCGAGTTTGCCAGCATTTTCATTTCTTCCGTCAGGCTAGACTTGAAAAAATGGGTGACGACAAGTCTTTTGGGATTGCTCAGGTTCTGCTCATAAAGATACTCAACTACCTCATATAATTTTTTACTCTTCACATTTTTCTCAATAGATAAACTCCTTTTTTTTTCAGCCAAGTCGCCACTCGCTTCCCTTACCCAACCAACCAATATTACCCGTAACTGAGATTTGTCTTGCCATATAGGCACAAGTACCGTAAGAACCTTTTACTCCGTAATCTCCTAATGAATCACACATAAATATCTTATAGATTTGACAAGTGGTTTCTCTGAACTTACCATTCTCATTTCAGGTCAACTTTTGAAGCATCCCTCTAGCTTTGGACGCTTCAGAGGATGTTGTTCTCTGCGTGGGTGTGCGTGAGAGATTAAATAATGGGTATATATAATATCACAGTACAGTTAATTCAGTCAATTCATTTCCTCTCCAAGCTATGTAGAGTTGAAATGCGTGAGAGTCAAACATTTAAGTTCTGTATTCATTTCCCTTTCAAGCTATGTAGACTGAAATGGGTGAGAGTCATATAGTAAGTTGTGTTCAATCAATTCACCTCTTCATTTTTTTTTTTGTGTGTCTAATTTGAGTTGCCTTCTGTATCAGAATCTACCATTCCTCCTAGGTTTACCGCAATACCTAGGTCGATCGAATGAAGAGCACTACGATAATTCTAACTGGTTATACAGCGAGTGCGATATTAATTTACTCATACTTGTACACATGCTATAATCAACAAAATTTCATCACCATTCAATTAACAAAAAACACAATCCATGGCGGGTTTACTCTGCACCCACCCGCACCTGATCTTTGACTAGATTTTTTTTTACAACTGAGTCGGTTTTGAGGTTGTGTATAGATCTAACGGCTAATAAATTTTGAGTTATCTACTTTACCTGACGCGGCATGATCTCAGCCGTCCCTTATAAAGCTCTTCGCAGTTAACATTTTCTCCCTCTCCTATACTCTCGTGGTAAATTTGTCAGATTTCGATTTGGAACCCTAAACAATTTCAAAAGACTTGACCGATCCTCTTCTCGAAGAAACTCGATTCTTGTGGATTCGATTTCATTGAGGAATTTTGAATTGTTGCCTGTGATGGGTGGTTTGGCTATGGAGGAAATGCCTTTATCGGCGCTATTCGAGCAAGCTAGGAAAATTCATCTCGCTGCTTCAGAGTCCGGTGTTGATCAGGTGAAATTTTTGTATTCGAATTCGATTAGGGTGTTTATCTGAAATGGTTATTTCGGATTCGAATCGCAAGTTTTTACTAAACTGGATATTTCCGCGATTTGGTTTTGTTAGGATGTTGTGAAGAAAGGATGTGAGATGTTTCAGAAGTGCGAAGACATGATCGGGAAGCTGGCGCTGTTTTCGTCTAACGAGACTAAAGAAGATATTAGCACCAACAATCTCAAATATCTTTTGGTATGCAATTCAGTCTTTGTTGTTTGTATTTTTTACTAGTACGTTTGTATTATACTTTTGTTATTAGTTTGGTGTGAAAGATCAGAAAGTGAAAAACTTTAGCTTCTCCTGATGCTTCTAGTTTTAGCTACTGAAATTTCAAATATGGAGTCTGAAATTCTGATTGTGCCTCTTCAATTGGACTTACCAGTGACTTTGTGTGGAGATCAGAAGATTGTGTGGGTTTTTGGTTGAAATTTCATTAAAGTGACGAGGGATATATTTTCTTGTGATTATAGGTACCTTATTACCTTGCGGAGTTGACAGAGAAAATCATACAGGACGACCGGATTCCGATTGTCAAAGCCTCGTATGCAAAGTTGAAGGTAATTTTTCTGCTGAGCTTTGATGCTAGTGCTAGTGGGAATGAGCATTTGGTTGGATTTTCTTCAGACTGATGTATATAGTCTTGTTATTATGTTTAGGAGTTCTTTTCGTTCTGTGAGGCAATGGAACTTGTTCCGGATGAGGAGTTGGAGGCTTCTTCACGAGGAGGTTCTGGTGCACCTGCTGATCGAAGGGCTCTGAAGGTAGATTCAGCCCTGTTTCTTTTGTCTATATTCTGACGAGAATGAAGTTTAAGGTTTTTGGATTTTGAAATCTGTGTTGTGTGTTCATGATTTCGGTACTTTGTAGATAGCTCGGTTCAAACGTCAAAAGGCTGTAGAGGCAAAGCTTCTTGAAATTAAAGAGAGAAAGGAGTGACGTGGACGTTCCACTAAAGCATCAGCTTTGTCGACTCCGTTTGAATCTGGAGAAGAAGATATTCCAGATGATGACAGCGAAGAAGAGAGAGAGGTTTGTCCTACTTTTTGTTTGGCTGCGAATATGTTGATCATCTCTCTGTCTTCAAACTCCAACGCAGGTTTGTAATGAGTTTGAAATCCAAAGTGTAGACCAAACCTTCAAAGAAATCCTTAGAGAGAATATGTTTCTCGTCACAATAACCTCAACTATCATATCTCAAGTAAGTCCTCTGTACGAGTGATCACGACATTTATCTTGTATTTCTTTTCTTATGTATCCCTAAGCCATATACACTTTCTTTTTGTTCCTTCTATATCAGATAATCGTGATCGAGTTTGCCAGCATTTTCATTTCTTCCGTCAGGCTAGACTTGAAAAAATGGGTGACGACAAGTCTTTTGGGATTGCTCAGGTTCTGCTCATAAAGATATTCAACTACTTCATATAATTTTTTACTCTTCACATTTTTCTCAATAGATAAACTCCTTTTTTTTTCAGCCTAGTCGCCACTCGCTTCCCTTACCCAACCAACCAATATTACCCGTAACTGAGATTTGTCTTGCCATATAGGCACAAGTACCGTAAGAACCTTTTACTCCGTAATCCTAATGAATCACACATAAATATCTTATAGATTTGACTAGTGGTTTCTCTGAACTTACCATTCTCATTTCAGGTCAACTTTTGAAGCATCCCTCTAGCTTTGGACGCTTCAGAGGATGTTGTTCTCTGCGTGGGTGTGCGTGAGAGATTAAATAATGGGTATATATATAATATCACAGTACAGTTAATTCAGTTAATTCATTTCCTCTCCAAGCTATGTAGAGTTGAAATGCGTGAGAGTCAAACATTTAAGTTCTGTATTCATTTCCCTTTCAAGCTATGTAGACTGAAATGGGTGAGAGTCATATAGTATGTTGTGTTCAATCAATTCACCTCTTCATTTTTTTTTTGTGTGTCTAATTTGAGTTGCCTTCTGTATCAGAATCTACCATTCCTCCTAGGTTTACCGCAATACCTAGGTCGATCGAATGAAGAGCACTACGATAATTCTAACTGGTTATACAGCGAGTGCGATATTAATTTACTCATACTTGTACACATGCTATAATCCACAAAATTTCATCACCATTCCATTAACAAAAAACACAATCCATGGCGGGTTTACTCTGCACCCACCCGCACCTGATCTTTGACTGGATTTTTTTTTACAACGGAGTCGGTTTTGAGGTTGTGTATAGATCTAACGGCTAATAAATTTCGAGTTATCTACTTTACCTGATGCGGCATGATCTCAGCCGTCCCTTATAAAGCTCTTCGCAGTTAACATTTTCTTCCTCTCCTATACTCTCGTGGTAAATTCGTTAGATTTCGATTTGGAAGCCTAAACAATTTCAAAAGACTTGACCGATCCTCTTCTCGAAAAAACTCGATTCTTGTGGATTCGATTTCATTGAGGAATTTTGAATTGTTGCCTGTGATGGGTGGTTTGGCTATGGAGGAAATGCCTTTATCGGCGCTATTCGATCAAGCTAGGAAACTTCATCTCGCTCCTTCAGAGTCCGGTGTTGATCAGGTGAAATTTTTGTATTCGAATTCGATTAGGGTGTTTATCTGAAATGGTTATTTTGGATCCGAATCGCAAGTTTTTACTAAACTGGATATTTCCGCGATTTGGTTTTGTTAGGATGTTGTGAAGAAAGGATGTGAGATGTTTCAGAAGTGCGAAGACATGATCGGGAAGCTGGCGCTGTTTT